CCTTTTTCCCTTAGACACACACATTTATTGGCTGCTGCATAGATTGATATAGAGGTTTCCTTCATGTGAATATTCAGTATAGTATGACTCTATTTCAACGAGGGTAGTTTTTCTACATTATCCAATTTGTTTTAACCTGCCTTAGGGCTGGTGCACACCTAGGCGATTTATCGCTCAAACCACAGATTTGCATTGAAGTCAATGGAAGCTGTTTACAGCTTTGCGTTGCGTTGCACAGTCGAAATCGCCTGTTTGCGCAAAAGGGTGCAGGAGCTATTTTCAACTAGTTGTTGCGCAGTTTTGGTCCCATAACATCTCTATACATTAAAAATTGTGCGGGTTTTAAAAGCAAAATCGCGCAAAAACAGCTTAACCGCCTAGGTGTAAACCTGGCCTCAGTAATTTTAAAATGCGTCATTGAATTGTTTTACTGTTTCTTTTCTATACTGTGTGTAAAAATAGGATTTTGTTCTTACTGTAAAATCCTTTTCTTGCAGCCCATTGATGGACACCACCATTCATTTTTTTGCCTAGTGTCCATTTCTCCTAGAGGCAGCACCATAACCCTACATCTCATAATTCTTCAAAACGGTGTCCCTCAATGGTTGATTTAGAAAATGAAATAGCATGTGTATGAAGCGGTAATATATCTGTATGATTTTCTTGTGATCTCCCGCAAGCTTTGCATATTTTAGATGCTCGGTGGCCAGGTGAAGTGTCACCGCTTAGTTATGTCAGTGTAGACTTCTCTTCCACATTTTCCAGTTTGTACCCTCTTTTTGTTTTAACTGTTTCTAACATGAAACTATGAGGTCTAGTCACAATCTAAACTGTGTGAGTGTTCCAGATACCAAAATAACCATCATCCTGAACTGAAGGTGATGTTCTGTTCAGGACTTTTACAGTGGAGGGGTAGTTTTCTGGTCTGTGGATGCACCTGTGGGAAAGTCTTCACAGGTGAACCTCTTTCGTCACTGTTCACATCCTCCGTCGGAACACTCCCATATCATACTATCAGGCTTTCATTTACATTCTTAGTGCTCTATAGTCTGCTTTATCTGACAATTTGGTGCTAGACACTCTATAATCAGCAGCTAGTTCATGCTGCTAGATATGTTCACTTCTGGAATGTACATTGTTAAAGAAAAATGTATGCTTAGTTTAGATCTTAACTTTATTAAAAGATCAGTTTCAGTTCATTTCAGCAGGCTGCAGTTGTGTATGCTCTACTACTTCTTCTTTTTTTTCTGGGTCAATTTAAATAGGAAATAGGAAAAAATAATGTAACTACGCTCAAAACTGAATGCATTATTGTGATTGATTTTCTTCCTGTAGTAGCAATGCTTTGCCTGTCCCAATTACCTCGATATCTCACATCAGTCCTCATGGATGTTAGTTTTCAGCTGTATGCCTCTTTACTGCGGCTACCCTGGCCTCAGTGACAAGTAATGGCCTAACTTCTCCATCAGAAGTCTCTTGAGTTTCATCAGAAAGCATCTTTTATTTTTAAATGCTCTTTCCTGTAACAATCTGCGTCTGCTGGGATCAGGATAAATCTTGCAGTGGTTTACAAGGAGATGAAAGTGGGTTTTTTCCCTCGCTCTCACACTGCATTTTTTTTTTTCATCAAGACAATATGCAAAGCTTAAGTGATTATACAGCTTCGCTGAGATTCTGAGCAGTGTAAATGAAACACTCTGCCTAAATATCTCTATGCAGTTTTCACGCTCTCCCTCCATAACAATACCAATTGTTTAGCACTGGCAGCTGTACAGTAGTGTTTTTTTATTTTTTAACATTCCTTTTTTTTTTTTCCAAGATCATCACTCCTTTTAGAAGACTAATATTGTGTGCTGAGAACAGAAAAGAGATGGAGGACTGGATCAGCTCACTGAAGTCAGTGCAGTCCAGAGAGCATTACGAGGTAAGCCCATTCCCTTTATTTGCAGTAAGTTAGTGTGAGGATGATGCTAATGGGAGAATGATCATATAGCCTGTTGTATATACACTATAGAATGTTTTCTGATTTTCCAGCCATTAATAATGGGAAGTTTTATCTACAAGCACTCAGTTTGAAATTGTGATTTAATAACTTTTAATAATGTTGCAATGAATGCATGAAAAGATTCTTCTCTGTTAATCATGCTGATGCAGAGATGGCACCATTAAGTTTTTTTAAACTGAGAGGAGTTTGATGTCGTGGTGGCAGTCACACAGTGCATATGATAAGGAATTCCAAATTCAATTTATAATGTGTATAGCAATACAGAGGTGGACTGGCACATTGAAATGCTTTTTTTGTGTCTTGTAAACATCTTCTCGTCCCTGCTCTAAAGCTTCAGTTATGCAACTGTCATGATATCATGAATTTAAACCACTTCCTACCTTTTTTGTTGGGCCTTTTTACTAACAATATATGATTTTATCTAATTGCGTTATGGCTTTGCATTGCTTCATAATACCTGAGGTTGTGAACATATTATGTAACAAATTATGAAAGTTTATAGTCAATATTGAAAAATGATTGGCTGAGTGTCTTCAATTATTTTTTGCCTTGCATTTTATATCTCTGGTTTATTGTTGTGTTACTTGGATTCAACCATCGTGTTGTGCTCAAATGAATGTGTTACATTACTTTTGCCCCACAATCTATGCTTGTAGCTCATGTAAATGCATGGATCTATTTTAGCCATAGCTGTACTGCCAAATTTTGTCTCAACTTCTCCCCTGTTAGACCGCACAGTTTAATGTGGAACATTTCTCAGGAATGCATAACTGGTACGCCTGCTCCCACGCCCGACCTACCTTTTGTAATGTGTGCAGAGAAAGCCTATCAGGGGTCACCTCCCATGGGTTGTCTTGTGAAGGTAAGTTTAATAACCCTTATCACCTGTATTACTGTTGTAGAAATTGATGCTGCTTTAACTATTCTTTTGTTGCTTTCATAATGAATACAATTACAACAAAACTAAAGAAAACACATCTACATATGCATAAGCCTGTTTATTACAAACCTCACCAGTATAACAGATAAGGTAGCTTATGATTCGCAGAATAGTTGATATAATTGTGGTGGCACATAAAGCAATCCATTGGCCCCGTTTTTTTTTTAAATTGTGACAAGGCGTTTTCTTCATTCATAATTTATTATGTTTTCCCATGTTTTGTCTCATTGGAGTCCCATCGCAGATCCGGTGACGCCACGGACATCGACGTCACCTGACTCCTCCCCCCTTCCCCAAGTGGCTCCGTCGGCTAACGAAGGGAAGGGGGGAGGAGTCCGGTGACGTCACAGATACCGACAGACGATCGGCGGAGAGGTGAGTGACACTGCATTTCGATGCCACAAGCCCCCAGTGAGATGTTTTAGATAGTTTAGATGCAGAGCTAAAATAAATGAAATCATCCACTTCCACTGCTTTAGGCATTACAGTTTTTGTTCACAGCTGTGGTACAGGGAGGATCTTTAATTCATACCCAAGCTATCCTGTTAAATAATGTGGGCTAAATGCTTGTGGTTAACTATTACTCATACGTATAATAAGGGTATGCTTTTCCAGAGAAGTAATGAAGCTGTTTAAATAAATCATTTCTATAGTGCTGACAATGCTGTGCTTTTACATACAGCACATTCACATCAGTGCCTGTCCAAGAAGCCTACAATCTAAGGTCCCCATGTCACATACTGTCACCGGGTGGCTCCGTTGGCTAACGAAGAGAAGGGGGGAGGAGACCGGTGACGTCAATGTCCGTGACATCACCGGACTCCTCTCCCCTTCCCTTCGTTAGCCGACGGAGCCACTTGGGCCGGTGATCTGTCGACACTGATAACTTATCGAGTTCTGCGACGCCTGACTTCCGGTTTCGTTACTGCGTACTCAATCTCATATTTAGCAGATTGTCGCATTAGGTGTTCTCTAGAATTGCGGAAGTTAAGTTGGACTTAGAGACTGAAACAAAATCACTTATTTGTAATCATGCAGCCATGGATCTGCGGCTGCCGGTGCTCCTGAACAGTGACTTCATCTGATAGGCCACCTACAGTTTGACTTTTGGCCAATTCAGCGTTTATCATCCTGAATTTGAGCTGTTAAACTAATCAAATTTAGCTAAATGCTAAACTGTAGCACAAAAAAAGGCATGGGTACCAAGTACTAGCTGCAGCTATCCATGCCAGGGGTGATAAACCTAGGAAAGGAAAGAAAGCAAAAACAAGGGATGAGAAAGGCCTAAGGGAAACCACTATTTTTTTTTTTTTATATTGGTAGCTAAGGGGCTTCTTGAGCTTTAAAGCTTGCCATACACCTTACAAATATCTGCAGATTTTCTGTGGTCAGATGGAAAAGGTGCAACAGATTCCTCCATCTACACTTAACTGCGTGGATGGAGTAATCTCCACCTGGGCCAATCTGTTGCACTTATGCCATCTGACCACAGAAAATCTGCAGATAATTGTAAGGTGTATGGGCACCTTAAGACTATTTGCTGACATTTGATATATTAGTACTACTGGTTCCATTTATTGTTGCTACAAGTGGTATCAGCATCTTCTTCTAAATTTGTGTGCACAATTGCTTGACTTTAAGAGATCTATTAGAATATGAGTAAAATATCACTTTTATGTTTCCAGATCTCCGTTAGTTTTTAGCTCTGCTGTTGAATGTAAAAAATAGTTCCAATTTCACAAATTGGGGAATTACCCAAAACTCTGTTGGGTTTATATTTCTAATTCTGATGACCATTGATCTGTGTTGTCACATAAAGTAAGTAGAATCTATTTTAGGGCACAAATAGTAATATTTTTTTTTTTAAATAGATCAATAATGAGAATAGTTGACAACTATTCTCATGATCAATTATTATCGATGTATTTGATTAGTTGGTTGCAGCCCTATTTATTACTAAGACAAATTGATGTACGGTTACTTCTTAGTAAATGTTCGCTCTTTACAGCAGCAGTGCTGTACCTTTTTAAATGTCTGCATAGTGAATGTAAAACATCCTGTCATATTTTTAGTATAAATGAAAGCTACGGTGTTTGCCAACTAATGAACAAAGGGATTTAAAACGTACAGCAAAGTGGTGCTTGAGAGAGCTGGTTTATGAGATAATATCGGAATCACTGAGGCAGTAAAGGCTCTATCTGTGTACAGCCAATTTCTTACTCCACTTTCTCTAGCAGATTGTAGAAGTAATTGCTTGTCAGTCTTTTTCTTCCTGATATACGTGTAGAGTGAACGTCTGCATGACTGTTCTCTTTTGGCACCATAACTTTTATTTAGTGACTTGTAGATCAGTACACTTTCTAAACAGCAGCAGATATTTTTGGAGTCTGTGTAGGAAAATATGTTTCAAGTCACATTTTGATTATTGCTATAGAATTTCGGGAATATTGTACTGTACTGTGACATACCATCTCCTGATACTAAGCAACCTCCCCCCCCCCTTCTGTTCATTTAAAATTGGCTAGATTGGTAAGTTGTCCGTAGGAATTTAGTGCCAACTTGGACCAAAGTCAGTCTGGTCCTGGAATGCATGGACTCCCCTTGGACACTTAAATTGTCTGAAGACTACTTGATGGCTCCACAGGGTACCTGCACTTTGGCAGTATTGTTGCCTTTAGAAAAATATGAAGAGGATAAGGGGGTGGCCTTTGATGACTTTCTACTTTAAAATTCTAGTCCCTGGCTCTTTGTGGCTTCATTACTTTGATACACTGACCCTGAAAGAGCATACACAAGAAAATCTGTGAAGTTTAACTAACTTCGTATAAGTCAATCTAATTCACTGACTCAGGCAGTGACTCAGAATGTACTTAAACAAATGGATCAGCATAACATCGAGGGAAGTGGTATTTTGAGTTGGAGAGATTAGTTAGAGCAGCAGCCACATTTCCTTAGGTTGCCTTTTAAAAGGAGAACTATGAGGCGAGTGATTTCCACTCATCCTTATAGTTAGAGCCGACCTGTGACAAAGAAACTGTTACAGGTCGGCTCTATAGATCGGGAAGTGAGCGAACGCATACCGTCGCTTGCTCACTTCCCGATCATCTCACTGCAGTGAGATGTGACTGTCAGTCGCTGCTTCCCTCAGGGATTCCTCTCTCCGATCTTCCTGCGCTGACTGGAGGAACAGACGGGGGAGGGGGCGGGCACAGCTGGCTCTGCCTCTAGGTAGGCAGAACCCGCTGTCACTCATGCAGCTGGGTGGATCTCGACAGTATTGTCAGGATCCGTCACGGCTGCGTTGGTATGTGTCCTCCTGTGACCCTAAATAGAACTATGGGATAAAAAGGTTACCCCATAATTATATTTTAAGTGCTGTTTGTTGTGGTTTACTTTTTGGCAGAATTGTTTATAGAAAAGAAAAATGCAGTAAATAGCATTTAAAAAATTGTGTTCATTCACCTGTGGTTTTGTGGTGTTCTTAGATGAAACCCATTGGGCCCCAGGCAAATTATAATGTAAAAAAAATGAATCCTTGCAGTATGGCTACCCTCGGTCCCAGGGTGGTGACTGATCACTTCTCTCCCACTCTGCATTCTCACATCCAGTGCAAGTCATTGAACGTGATGACGCCACAGAACCTTACACCACTGGAGCCTGGGGGAGAAAAGGCTGCAGGGACAGGTCTAGCAGTCAAGTGAGACTGAGGATCAGGTACATTTCTTTTTTTTAGACCCTAGACCAAAACGAGCATTTAACCCTTGCAATACAGGGGGTAGTCCGACTGCAAGAGTAAAACATTTTTTATAGGCTCGGAGTTGTTCTTTAACATAGAAATATGTTATTTATCTGCCCCTGCTCTCCCCTTGCCTATTCATAGAACATGTTGTATTTGTAGAGGGAGAGGAAAGTCAGACAGATGACATTCTGGCTTCTGTGTATGAGAGCCGTAGGACTGGACGTACAGTGATGGCTGTACTTTCAGGCAACAGTAAAAGTACACAGCAGTAATTCAGACCTGAGATGAGCATTAAGCTTTAACCCTCAGATTTAACATAAAACAATAGTGTAATGTGTGCCTTACTGTAATCCATGGTTGTTTCCCTTCTCTTTGCTGCTCTTCCTTTTAAATCCTTATCTCTTCTCATGCTGGGCAGAATTTCTGTTTTGCAGCAGACTGCCTTGTCTCAGGAATGGATGCATGGTGTCTGTGTGTAGGTTTGCAACCTGAGCCAGCACTACAGGAAGAGGCACTCAGCTGCAAATGGAAGTTCTCCCACAGCATGAGAAGACATGAGGATTTAAAAGGAAGAGCAACAAAGAGAAGGGAAACAACCATGGATTACAGTAAGGCGCATATTACAGTATTGGTTTATGTTAAATATGAGGGTTTAATGTCACTTTAAGGTAACTTGTCCTGGAATTCTCAATTTTTTTAAAATAATGGAACATGCAGCATTTTTTCATGTGGTAGCGGGCCCATGTAAATCAATAAAATACAGACATGCATCCATTATGCCTTTTTGTTGGTATTTAGTGCATTTGCAGAAATCTCCATCTCAGCTAGAATGTAGCAGAAGTTGGTGGCAGCTAGCGATATACCGATACTGAGTATTTGGGGCGAGTACTCTTATTCACCCAAATTCTTCAGATACTTATTCCGATGCCGGAACTTCCGGTTTTAGGAAGCAGGGCGGCGAGTCATTACATGCCGCCCGACTTCCTAATTGGCCGGGAAGCCGGCTCCATGCTCCCTCGTCACCAGATCAGGAAACCGGACGGCAAGTCATTACCTGCCCCACAGCTTCTTAATTGGCTGGAATGCCGACTCCTCTTCACCTGGTGACAGGGGGGGCATGGCATCCCTAGTGGTAGTGCCACACTTGTTAAGCCCTTAGTCCTTATACATACCTGCTTCGGTATGGTAAAGCTCAATGTGCACAGCAAGCTTTTGCGAATACTGGCAAAACTTTCAGCAGGTTTACCGCAACTTTATTCATGCTGTAAAACGTGCTTCAGTTCCAGTATGGGGATGTTAAACGTTGATCTTCATGGGAGCACTGACTGTCGCTTTCAACAAGCTCCAACTAGTGCTGAAGCTTACTAATGCCTGCTGACAGTGTTAGTCAACCTTTCCAATTCTGTTTAACCTCCCCAAACTGCAGCTAAAGGGTGCTTTAATGGCCTCATAAAAAAGGGTTTGCAAATCCTTTATAAAAGCTTGATGTACATGATGTTCCTATACCAAGATATTATTTGAAACGCACACACCGCAAAGGAAGGCAAACTGCAGTTGAAAGGACTAATCACAGGATATTGAATTGGTAGTAATTGAGGTGCAATTCATGTTTGTAACATAAGTTGCTGCATTTCGCAAAAACAGATCCTCTTTCTGATCAAAGGGCCTTTCCTTAGAACAGGGTGCCCACAATTTGTGTGTTAAGATCTACTTTTCAAATGACGAGCTACATGAGATCTACCAACGAAAAAAAAACCTCCCTCGCTCTCTCCTGGCTGTCTCTCCTTGCTCATCCTCCTGGCTGTCTCTCCTTGCTCATCCTCCTGGCTGTCTCTCCTTGCTCATCCTCCTGGCTGTCTCCCCTTGCTCATCCTCCTGGCTGTCTCCCCTTGCTCATCCTCCTGGCTGTCTCCCCTTGCTCATCCTCCTGGCTGTCTTTCCTCGCTCTCTCTCTCTCCTGGCTGTCATTCATCATTATTTCTCCTGGCTGTCTCTCCTCGCTCTCTCTGGCTGTCATTCATCGTTATTTCTCCTGGCTGTCTCTCCTGGCTCTCTCTCCCCTGGCTGTCTTTCCTCTATCTCCTGTCTATCTCTACCCGCTCTCTCTCCTGGCTCACCTTGCTGTATTTTGCAACAGGCTGTGTAAACTATTATTCTTTGATGTAATACATAGCACTTCAACCACCAGTATACACCAGAAAGGTGTCAGGGAGCTTGGCTCAGCAGACTCGGGCTAATAGGTAATCACGTGTGCACAGCTAAATAAATATACCAAAATGAAATAAAGGGGCCGCCATTCACACCCTTCGTGATCAACCAGCATCAGCTTTGAGAGCTACTGGTAGATCACGAGCTACCTAACGGCCACCCCTGCCTTAGAACTTCCTATATTGCCATGGTAACCGCAAAGATGCAAACCATAATTCTCTAGCTGATTTCTCCACTGCAGCTTGGAATTACTTTAATAAAGGTGCCTGCGAAGATATGCAAAACATTAACCTGCTAGAACCTAACGTTGAGAAAATCTTTAATAAGTGAAACAAGGAGGCTGTCATTTCTGACCTCCCTGTTGAAAGTTCTAGTTTCTTGACAGTTTTGCTGACCTAAAGGCTTTGATACTTTCTAGGTCACTGACCCCAAACAAGTCTGCAGCGAGTGGTGTCAGAGGGAAGTCATACATCCCAATCTCAGACAGTATTGCAAGACCTTGAATTGCCATGACAGCCAGGCAGCTAGCTCGTTTTCAGAAAGAGAAGCCAGTAGTGGTAATAAGTGTATTTCTCTTGGCACAGGTTTCCTTCAACAAAACATACAGTTTTGAGTTGATCATTCTTTAAAGAATTAGAATCTGTAGAACTTGATGTTTTTGTTTAGCTAATTTACTTTGGATAAGCAGTATTTTCATTTCTATTTTTTTCTTTCATAAGATAATTGACTCATTATACAATAAATATTAACATTTCCTATCAAAGTCTGGGTGAGTTTGGTTTAGATTTCTGGCACCTTTGCATGTATATACTTTAAAGCAGAATTCCAACTACCCCCGCACACTGGAATCCTTGAAGCCGGGTAGCTGTCACAACACTCAGAGGAGCTTGTCTGCTCCTCCACTGCAGTGATGGTATGTCCCTCATGTCCTGTACACTGTGTATTGAAAGTGATGATTTACGGGACCTTAGACCGCTGCAGCAGAGGGAGAGAGAGGCCCCAGGGACCGGTCTAAGAGCAAGCCGGCTCTGAGGATCAGATAGACCAAAACAAGCACTTAACCCTTACAAGTGCAGGGGTAGCCCCACTACAAGAGTTCATTTAAAAACAAGTTTTACATTTTTTCAGTGAAGAAAATTGGTGCTCATTACAAATTTGTCTTTTGTATACAAATTCCTTATATAATGTAGTTTGGTAACCCGTGTCGTATGTCAATTGGTTTTCCCTTTTCTGCTAAGTATGAGTTTTAAAAGAACAATATGTTGTCCAGCTTAATGAAACGGTAGCAAAACACTTATCTCTTTTAGTGTTCTGTAGACTTGTACCATAAGTATACTTTTGTGTACCATTGGCCCAAATGTCTCCTTTCCCCTGCCCTCCTTATTACTTTATACCACAACAGAGACATTAAGTCTGATGATCACCATTTCTGTCTTCTGGGAGTTGCCATACTGCAGACACGCAGCTCTTTTCCATTGACTTTAATGAAGGTTCTGTCTCCCTGAAGGCCTACAGGGAAACAGGCCCTGGAATTATGTTTTGAGGAACAAGCAACATGTAGCAGATTTGTAAAACATTAAATAACTTACATTGCCTAATGTATGATGCTTTAACTTGTCTCTGTTAGTATTATAGAAATTAAAATGCAAAAAGTTATTTTAAGATCGAATGTTGTAATGAACATTATCGTGTTAGTTTTATTTGCTCCTTTTGGCTTTTCTGTCATTGTATTCTGTTACTTTGTTGTGATTACAGGTGAGTGTATGCATTTTACAGAGTTTTCTCTTTATATTTGTAGTATGTAAATTTAAAGCTCATAAGAGATGTGCTGTAAGAGCAACAAATAACTGCAAATGGACAACGCTGGCCTCCATTGGGAAAGATATTATTGAGGATGAGGATGGTGTAAGTATAGAACATTTGCAGGAATTTCATAACTTATTTGTACTAGTCCTGTTCTTTAGTATAATAATGTAACATTTTTAATACCTGCACCCCTAGCATTCAAGTATACCTGCTGGTTTAAGAAAAATAAATAAAAAAAGAATGACCACAGTCATAACCTGGCATTTAAGGTATAGTCCCCTTCATAAGTCTGCAAGAGCACTATTAGGCCCCACAAATTCCATTCACTCTCATAAGAGGCAGCACAGTGGCTTTGGGGTTAGCACTTCTGCCTTGCAGCACTCGGGGTCCCTGGTTCATATCCCAGACTGGACACTACCTGCAAGGAGTTTGCATGTTCTCCCTGTGCGTGTGTGGGTTTCCTCTGGGTACTCCGGTTTCCTCCCACACTCCAAAGACATGCTGGAAAGTTAATTGGATTCTCTCTAAAATGTCCCTGAATGTATGAGATGGGGACCTTAGATTGTAAGCTCCTTGAGGGCAGGGACTGATGTGAATGTGCAACTATGTAAAGTGCTGCGTAAATTGTCGGCGCTATATAAATACCTGAAATAAATATGAAAGATTTTACACTTCCTGGTAGTGTTTGAAGTGTGGGGAATGGCTTTTAGTACCACCAGTGTTAAGTTTTGATGTAGACCTTGTTCTGTAGGTTCTACAGTGCTCCAGCAGACTTTTAAAGCTATATGCCCACTTCAGTAAG